GGGGTTTGCCTTCCAATAGCTAAAATGTAAGGCTGCAAAAAACTCCTTCGCTCTGGGAGCTTCAGCTTTGGACGTGGACCAACAAATTGAAACTGAATGCAGACAAGATGCAGGTTTCATATTTCTGAGTTCCAGAACCCTGAATCTGGACCAGTAGCCAGGTCACATCTTTCGACACTGGTGCCATATGTTGGTGGTAGTCAGCTTTGGACATGGTTGCATCCTCCTGGAGGGAACAGGTCCATAGCTTGTGATTCCTACTTGATTCGACATTGCCCCAGGAAACTCAGGTAGCCTCTACAGCTAGGAGTGCCTATTTCCACCTATGGCTAGTTTGCCAGCTATGGCCAGTTTTGGACACAGATGACAACTTGGCCACTGTACTCCATGCTCTGCTAACCTCCACATTAGACTACAGTTTCCCATCTACTTTGGGCGTATGCAAAAATGCAGGATGTCAGTCCCACAGCCGAGCTGTCCTTTCCCTGTTCGTCATTTTTGACAGTGTAGTGATTTGGATCAGCTTTGGCAAACAATGAATGCCCCCATCATCGGTTAAAAGCTGGCGTGGGGCACATCAGGGCTGGGGAACAAATGTGGCCCTCCAGGCCTCTCGTAACTGGCCCTCGGAACTCTCCCCAAGCCACACCCCTCATTGGCCCAGCTTTGCACACTGAGTGTTTTTGCCTTGCTGGAATAGGTTCTTGAACTCTGATCAAGACACGTAAAATGTATTTGATAGAAAGTACACATGAATCCCCTATCTCCATTCATTCTCTATACTTTTCAGTAGTAACTCGTTAATCCTTAGCCACCTCTTCTCTAAGCTGAAAGCACCTTCAGGCCTGATCCAGCCAAAATTCAACACATCCTATGTCCCACTGATTTCCACAAGAGACTGCAATTCTAGGACAGTTGCTTAACAGCAAGGCCCACTGAATAGAGCATGACTTACTTTTGAGTAAACAGTCATAGGGTTGTACTGTTACAAAACCCCACTCTTTTCCCCACTGAAAACAATGAAATCTTTAAACAGCACAATCCTATGTCTACTCAGAAATAAATTCAACCACTGAGTTCAACTTTGGTTGGATTGTGACTCTAATAGTTTTGATCTCTCCTTCTATGGAAGATAATAACCATTAAAAATATGAAAAGGCCATGGTTCTCAGGATGGGGAGGGAAAATCTGATGAGCTGTTTCTAATTTAGATAAGATTAAAGGAATTGTATGAATATGCCTGGGATTAAACAGCTGGCAAAGCACATCACTGACAGAAGTGCTTTTATATAAATACCAAAGAGAATTATTTTGTTCTCATTCTGTTTCAGGCTTCTTGTACATCAGTTCACAGCTGCCCCATCTTGTTGCTTGCCACACTGCCATGGAGAACCACAGAATCATAGAGTTGGAAGGAACACTGAGGGTCATCTAGTCCAGCCCCCTGCAATAAAGGAATCACAGCTAAAGAATCTCTGACAGATGGCAATCCAACCTCTGCTTTAAAACATCCATGGAAGGAGAGTCCACCACCTTCCAAGGTAGTCTTTTCCATTGTCCAACAGCTCTTACCATCAGAAAGTTCTTCCTAATGCTTAGTCAAATTCTCCTTTATTGAAACTTGAATCCATTGGTTGAATTCCTACCCTCCAGAGCAGGAGAAAACAAGCTTGCTGCATCTTCCACATGACAACCCTTCACAAATTTGAAGATGCCTATCATATCACCTCTCAGTCTTCTCTTCTCCAGGCTAAACCTAACCAACTCCCTCAACCATTCTTCATATGACTTGAACTCCAGACCCCTTATCATAGTCATTAAATCATAGACTTTTAGCTGGAAGGGACACAAGAGTCATTTAGCCCAACCCCCTGCAGTGCAGAATCCTCTTGGTCACCTTCCTCTGCACACCTTCCAGCTTGTCAACATCCTTCTTAAACTGTGAAGTGATGCCAGAAGACCAGGCATCAGCCCAAGGGACCAAAAAAATGGCCTGACAATTGATGTAAGGGAAAGAGGCATCCGAGGCTGATGATGCAAAGAGAATTTACCCTCCAGCCGGACTGCATCCTTGGCATAGAAAACTCCCGACCTCCCAGCTCTACTGGGCCTCCTCAGATTAAAACATCAAGGAGAACACACTCTAAAAATAACAAGTGGGACCCACAACAAAACGTTGCAGCGTTGAATACTCCCACTTGAGATTCCAGGGGTTCCATTCCGTCTGTCCCCTTCCACAGTCAATCAGCATTCTATGGCCACTGAGCATGCTCGGTCTTCTTTAGGCTGCTTTGGGGTGGGCAGAGGCTCCTCCCTCAAGGCTTCCCCCCTTGAAAATATATTTTGCACTTCTAGAAACTTGGGGCAGGTGTAGAGAATCTTGGGCCCTCCAGCTGTTGGAGAACTACAATGACCATTGTCCCTGGCCCATTGGCCATGTGTGCTGGAGCTGATGAGAATTGTAGTTGCTGAACGTCTGAAAGATTAAAAGCTCCCCTCACCTACAATAGAGTTTCTCTCATTCTGCTGCTTCAGAGGCATTCTTATATACGGATGGGTGGCCATTTTGGCTACAGAAGCAGATATACCCTTAGAATTAGAAATTAAGAACCAGGACAAAACTGAGCATATGTTTAAGACCAGGAATTGGTTTTCCATACCAGAACTGAGTTCACAATTCTTTCCACACAAAAATCCAGTCATTGTCTCCCAGCTTAAAAACTCTCTTTGGATGTGTACACACTATACCTTTAAAGCACATGTGAAGCACATTCTTTCCCTCAAAGAACCCCCACAGAGTTACAATTCCCAGAAACCCTTAACGAACTTCAGTGGCCAGAATTATTTGAGGAAAAGAATGTGCTTTGACTGTGCTTTCGGTGTATAGAGTGTATACAGCCTTGTTTCAGTATCTTAATTGAGGAAGGAGAGAAATATTTTTTTAAAAAAACTTTGATTATTTTTACTTACTATTACATTTATATCCAACTTCCCTTCAAGGAGCTCAAGGTGGTGTGCAACTTGAGTGGGTCACCTCATGCCTGGGGGCCAGGCCTCTCTATCTAGCATTAAGAATTGTCCCAAGGCCACACCCCTTTGCACCCCAAGTCTATTTTTGCCTAGCTGGAATTTGCCTGATATTGCTTCTTTACTTACCTGGATGGAAGATAGAAGGGGGTGTGCATGTGTGCAGAAACTAGGCTATTGTACAAAGGTAAAATTTACATTAACTTCTCCCCCCCCCACTTTTGCCCATGCCCACCACTGACATGAGACCCTTAGAAGGTTGCCTAGAAGACAATGCAGTCTTCAAGCTAAATAATAACAATCCCCCAACCCTAGTGTATACAGTTTCCCCCCCTCTCCATTTTATTCTCACAATAACCCTGCAAGGTAGCTTCAGCTGAGAGACAGCAACTGGCTCAAGGTCACCCAGTGAGACTTGGGGATTAGAACCCTGGTCCTCCAGGCCCTAGTCCAACACTCTAACCACTAGGCCACACTGGCTGTTGTTGCTGCTGTTAAAAAACTGGGAGTCAGAAGAACTTGCAAATCACTAAGAAATCAATCAAGAGCAATTCCTGTCATGCCACACCAGCCAACAACAAACAGAGCAACTTTAGCACTTGGGTCCACTTCCTTGGCATTTACAAACACCCCCTTTGCACAACGCAAGGGCGGGAACTAAAGATAGCGGAGGCAGGCACTTCCAGGGCCTAGCAGTGTGCCACACAAACCTCCCCTCCTCTCCTTTCACCAACAAATGGTTGGTGGGATGGAGGGGAAGAGATCGCCCAGAGGGCAAACGGAACTTCTGGGAATTAAAAACTAGAAAAAAACAGAAAAACAGGGGAGAAGCCGGCAGGGTGACTTTCTGGGGTCTAGTGATAGATTTATCTCACCTTGGCACAGCAATTGGTGTATGAATGGCAGAGGTACATGGCTGGTTGTCAAGGGATGATGGAAAGGGAAGGCAGGGGGGCGCAGCTATCCTAGGCCCACCTGGCCCCAACCTGGTGACCTCCAGTTGTCTTGGACTACAAATCCCATCAGCCCCAGGTAAAACAGTGTTGATGGGAGTTGCGGTCCAAAGACAAATGGGAAGCACCAGGCTGGGGAAGTCTGGCACCCGGACAGGGACAAGGTCCCAACCAATAGGGCAGACTATTTTAGGGAGGGGGTCAGGAGGAAAAGAAGGTAATTTACTTGGAGGGGTGGGTGGCAGGTTGCAAAGGAAAGTATTTTGCACACAGCACTCCATGGAAAGTATCCCTGCAGCGTCTTCACTGCATTGGATCTTTGCTTCACCTCCCCCCACCCATCCTACTCTGGACGGATTCCGACTTGGGTTTTTTAATGTCTCCTGGACTCTAGTAAAAGAAACCTGGGTTTTGACAAGGGCTCCCCCCTGTCCCATTTCAAGAAACTTAATCCACAGAGCTCCAATGCATTTGCCAGATTCCAGTGAGCTTCCCCTTTCCTCCTTTCCCCCTGCTCTTCAGCCAAGACAGAACAAGCAGTGGCTTATTCCCAACCCTTTCTCATGTTTGTTTGTTTTTAGGAGCCCAGCAAAGGCTCTACAGAACATTTCATCCTCTGGAGAATCTGCTGCAGCTAAGCAGGTCCTGGATCTGTCCTTTGGATGGCAAATCCCATGCAGCTGCAGAATAATAGTAACACTACTACTGCTACTAAAAATAATAATAATCCACTATTAGTAGGTGATGAATTCCAAGTACAATCCACATGAGCTGGGCCTGAGCTCCAGAAAGCCATCCTCCTGCCCGGATCTGGGCCACGGCAACCCCACTTGCCTATGAGGCTGCTCGGGAGCAAGGGGGCTGCGGCGGCCTTGGTGGGTCCCCTTGGCTCCTCGCCTGGGCCGGGCCCAGCGCTGCGCCCTCGTTGCGCGCGCCGCGGCCTCTCCGCACCCCACCCCCACCCTTCCCCCGCTGCAGGCGCGTCGCCCGCAGGGGTCTCCCTCTCTCTCTGGGGCTCACCTCCTCGGCCTGCTTGCGCAGCGCCTTCTCCCGCTCGTACTGCGTGAGCAGCTGCTCGTTGTCCTCGCGCAGGAGCTCCAGCTCCACCTCGTGCTCCTGGTTGTCGGTCAGCACCGAGTCGAGGTTCTCCAGCACCGTCACCACCAGCGGCATCAGCTCCTTGACCACCTCCTCGTCGTAGCAGCGGATGAGGCGCTCGAACTCGCGGTAGATGCTGTTGGCCAGGCCCGACACCCGCTCCGACATCACCGAGCCCGAGCAGTAGTCGTCGCCCGGGTAGCCCCCGACGCCGCCATCGTCCAGCTGGATCTCCAACATCTTGGCGCCGCCGCCTCCTCCTCCGATCGACGAGCCCCGCGCCGCGGATAGAAGGCGCTCCCACCGACAGCGGCACCTGCTCCGCCGGCGGCTTGCAGAAGATGGATGGCGGCGGCGATGCTGATGCTGCTCCTGCGCCTCCCGCTTCGGCCTCCGCCTCCCCAGCGCTCGGCTCGGCTCTGCCCAACGTCGCTTGCCCTGCGCCACTGGCCACTCCCGTTGCCGTCGCCTCTCCTCTCCCTGCCTTGCGCGCACAGGCGCATCAGCACCAGAGACGCCGCTGCGGCCAGGCTGCTAGTGGGAGGTGGGGGGGGGAGGGACGGAGAGAAGGGAGAAAGGTGGGTTTACAATCGGATTTCCCGTGCGCATCCCTCCTTCCTTCGCTCCAATATGGAATAGGTTTTCATCGTTACTAGGCTAGCCTGAGCTGTGGTCGTATAGAAGGCGCGTTATTTATAATGGGGGGGGGCGCAGATCCAGAGCAACGCTGCCGCACAGCTCTTTTTGCGACGGCAAAAGACGGAGGGAAATGAGGACTAGCCTGCCGGTTATTTAAAAAAACCCGTGTGCCTGTATAATATTTAATTGGTTGCATTTTAGGTACACGGTACAATATCCCCAAACTCCCATTTACTGAGCTGCAAATGAGATACGGATTTGGAAGAATCACCACCTAATACTCACTAAGCAAGCTTCATTCAGCCTGGTAGGATTTGCTTCGGAGTGAACACAGGATAGATTGCTATGAAGATTATTCTGTGGGTGAATCTATCCCTGCGGGGATAAAGTTGGGCATTATTATTATTATTATTATTATTATTATTATTATTATTATTATTTTAAAAACGCATTGTAGAATTCCCATGCATTACATTTCTGATCAGTGCAGTCAAGTCCACTTTCTTAAATCAGGAGCCTAAGCAGTGCACAAAACCATATGCTTATGTAGTTGTTTAAAGGGGGGGTATAAATTCTGTAAGTATATAAATAATCATTTCAACCATAGAATTCATGCATTACACATAATACAACACATTTTAACTACTCCACAACAAAAACCCAGGTGCAAAATATTTCCAGCTGATAAACATATAAACAGGTCCCAATGTGTGGTTGGGTCTTCCATATGCTTTATTAAGGATGCTTAATGCCTTCAGAGAGACAAATGAGGCTGAACCTTGTATGAAAATAATAATCTCTAACCTAGAATCCCTTCCACTAAATCTAATGTGTGTGAACTGGTTGTAATTACTCAGTGAAAGCTGAAAGCCACTCTACACATCTTCAGAGGTAACCCGCCCCCTGCTTTTTAACTTTTTGTGTCTCATATCTCAGTTTCTGCATTGGAAGCAAATTCATACATAGTTCACTTGATGGAGATATTTTGGTCTCCATCAGACAACCTCTTTATTGCAGATTCATCCTGATTTGCTTGCCCAAAATTTATGTGGAGGTTAGATAATTTCTGATCTTTATTGAAAATTCAGTCTGATTTGTTTGTAGGAAGGCTACACAACAATTATTGTTATTAATTACCCATCCTTCACTCTAAGGTTCTAGAGAAGACTACAACAATTAAAACACAATGTTAAAAACAACTTACAAACACACAAAAATAAGGTGGGCAGTCATGCTGACCTACTTATAGGACATTTGTACAGCTTCTCACTAATTGTTCATTCATTAAACACTTTTTAATGCAATTCACTTTCACTTTGCTAACCGCAAAAAGTCCATCCTTCCTTAAAAGTGGATTTATTGTGTGACAGATGACTTAATTCCACTTTGATTTCACAAAATTACAATTCCCAGTGTGCATGACTCCTTCCCACAAATACTGTCAGTCTGGAGACATCATATGATCAATCCACCTCTTAAATGCTCTCAGCCACTGGTTGCATGGTGTGAGCATTCATCTTCCAACCATACTTCACATCCCAATATGTTTGCTGCAATACGTTTCTCCAACTTCAGCTGGTGTGTCAGTTGTGCCGTTTCCCAGAGAAGACAGGCCAGGCCTTGATCATTCATGTTTTAGGAACCTCTAATACAGACTACTGTGATGTGCTGTTTGTGGGACTGCCCTCAAAAAGGGAACTGGTAACTTCAGATGGTGCAAAATGCCAGATACAGTGGTACCTTGGTTTGCAATCGTTTTGGATTACAACCACGTCACACCTGGAAGTGCGTGTCCCGTTTTTTGGATTACAACACCCCCCCTTTTTTTATTACAACCCCCCCTTTTTTTTTGGGAGGCCCAACTGGCGAAAGCGCACCTTGGGTTACAAACTGTTTTGTTTTACAACCGGACTTCTGGAACGGATTATGGTTGTAAACCAAGTACCACTGTAGTTGCCTACATTTGATCAGTCAGAGTATTACTGTGGTGCTGTTGGATCCATACTGGCTGACATTTCAATTATACTCTCAATTTACCTTTATTTTTATTTATTTTGATTCTTTCTATTAAAATAACTATAATAACATAATAAATCTTCATGGTACCGACAATAATAGCAAATATAATAGGAAGACCAAGAGTAACAAAAACTACAATAGCTTAAGGAAAACACTAATGACCAAGCTTTCTGCCTTAAGACAGAAATCAAGGAATCATAGAGAAGGAAGGCTACTGAAGGCATCTTGATCAAGACCCTCCCCCAACCCCCCCCCAAAGAAACCCTGTATCTGGCACTGCCATTTCCCATTCAAAATCCTACTATGCAAGGTCATATAAATAGCCTTCTATGTCACTTAACACTGACAAAAAATACACATTTCCTAGTTGCGTGACTTAGGTATACACCTCTGTATATACCTCTGTTTCATATAACAGCAACCAAAACTGTGAAGCAAACAATAAAATAAGGAGCATCAGCTGAGAGATTCTATGTGCCATCTCTGGAAAGATCAGGAGTAGCATGCCAAGGGCCCTGCAATAAAATCCATCCCCCAACCTCTCTAATGACTAATCAATGAGGCATTAGAAAGATTTGGGTAGAGTTGTAATGTGAGCTTCAGTGTTCTTGTCTGAGGAAGGAAAAAGGAATGAAGAGAGAGGCAAAAGCTTGCAAGAATCCTCAGGAGAGATCTCTTAGTTGCTCCTAATAGCACTCTAAAACATACTCTGTTCAAGACAAGGGATGGATCTGCCTAGAGCTATGCAGAAGGGATGTCTGAGCCCTGCTTTTGTAGATGTCAGGCTGTCTGCTGTAAATCTCTAGATTAAATTTATTGTAAAGAATATGGGAGGATGTTTTTCTTGCTCCTCCCAAGTGCCCCAAATGAACATGGTCACTGAAGAAAGGAATTTGAATTTGCTGCATTTATTTTTGGGGACTGAATACTACTTAACATGATAAAAAAAATCTCTAAGTAATTTACATAAAAACAATCCAGGTGCAACATTTAATAAAATTCCTTTAAAACTACGGAAAAATGGAATCAAAACACAACTGTATATCGTAAATAAAACTGAGCAGTGTACAGAACAAAAAATAGATAATACTAATTTGGGTCCAGAAATAGTTGCCCAGAAGTAAATGTGACCCTTGTGTTCTTGAGCCCTGCTATATGGACCTCTTACTCAGGCTGGGAGTTTGCCTAGGACTAGGTGATTATTATCTCTTCTGGCTCTGTCTTTGCCTTCTTGTTCTACCTCTCCATGTGATGGCCTGGCATTCCGAGTCTGAGAGCGATCCGGAGGAATCCCAGCCGGCACAGGAGTCCCCGCCTCCAGGGCCGGCTGAACTGGGGCAAGGCCTAGATGCTGAGGAACCTCAAGAGCAGGCACCAGGTGAAACCATTCTGGCCCCAGAGGTGCTGGAAGACTCAGTGGCTACAGGTGAGCCTCCCCCGGGGCCCAGTAACCCTTCGGCCTCTCCTGATCTGCAGAGGCTTAGGGCAGAGAGGCGAAGGGAACTGGTGTCTCCCAGGAGGAGTGCTCGCCTTAAGGCCAAGAGAGGCGGGGCTTCTGGGGGCCGGGACCGCCCCCGGCCTTAGAAGAAGATAAAGGTCAGGCAGCCCGGTCCCAGGTTGCGGGAGCAACATCGTTGTGGAGTACCTGCTTACCCAGTCCTTGATCTGCACTCCCAGTGTGCCTGTTCCTCGCCCGGCTTCCTGTTCCTGACTATCCAGTGTTCCTGTTCCTCGCCTGGACTCCTGCTTCTGCCCTACCAGTGTTCCTGTTCCTCGCCTGGACTCCTGCTTCTGCCCTACCAGTGTTCCTGTTCCTCGCCTGGCTTCCTGCTTCTGCCCTACCAGCGTTCCTGTTACCCCGCCCAGCTCCCTGTCTCGGACCTCGCGTCTCATCTAGTGATCGTCTACCCTGCTAGAGACTCTGGACTGATCTTGGGCTACGGTAATAGTACCTTATCCCCCCTGGGACCAGCACACTCCAGCTTGATTCTCAGTTCCAGCTGAAAGGCTGCTTTCAGCTCAGCCCTGACCAGGATCAAGCTGGCAATGGGTTCTCTATAATTTGTAGCAAATCTTCACTCAGCTTGTGGCTGTTATTATAAAGACCTTCCCTTGACCTTCTTTTTATAGAGCAGCATGTTCCTCCTGGTCTTATCAGACTGGGAAACCTCCACAAGAGCTGTTAAATAACACCAAGTGGACAACTATAGCCATCACAGAAGATTTCTTTATGCCAGTATTGTACTGTATTGCACTAATTACCAGCACACTTATGGCAGCAATGGTGCCACAAAGCTCTTAGGCAATTTTGTTTTCTGCTTGCTTATTTATGCCTCCTTGTTTTTGTTTTTTGCTGGAAAAGTTTGTTTTTTGCTGGAAAAGTTTCTACATCCACTAATTTCCTCTCAGATAAATAAATGTGCTAAAGAAAGAAAGAAAATATTTATCTGGTGCTATCAGTGTGACTATGGATTGGCAGCAGTTCATCTAGATCTCCTTCATTTCCCGGATATTGGCCAATAGAGGATGTTAGCTCATTCTTCAGGATCAACGACAAACAAAACAGTCCCTGCCTGTAGGCTTATAAGCTAAAGGGCATAACACAAAAGGAAAGAGGAATACAAGCAAACTCAGGCACCTGTTCCTAAAATTATTTCAAAGTTCTTATGTTGGCAGCTTGACTTCTGGGAGACGATGACCCAAATGGAGCTTGGTTCACACTTGAGCTGATGGGTGCTTCCTGTTTCTATACCTCCTGTAGCCTGATAGAGTAGGCAAGGGAAAAGAGGGACCCGATGGACCTGCTCTCTTAACAGAGCCAAT